CCCTTGTGGTCTCTTCCAACTCTATGATTCTATGATTCTATGACCTCAGGAGATAACTGCAAAAGAAGTTAACCTATTTAGCAATAGTGGAGTTATCAGTAACGGGGCTTTTTTTCTTTTTGCATTATATCATTTAACCTTTCATTCAATTATTAGTTGCCTACATCTTTTACTGTCTTGTTATTGCATATTGCTCAGCTATTTTATTCCAAAGAATCCATTCCAGAGTCGGCTGACAAAGTCCTCCATCCATCTAGAAATGGGGCTACCCAGGTTCATTCCCAAGAGCTGAATAATCATCAGCTCTTCTCCCAGAATATGTTCTCAGGACTCCATCATCTCCCTTTGACCTTCTGGGAGGGCTTTGTCCTGGCCATGAAACCCTGATGAGAAAGAAGAAGAGGCTGCAAGGCTGAAGTGCAAATCCCTTTTCCCTGGAGGAGGCCTTGCAAACATTTCCCAGCCCTAAACCTCCCTGGAATAAAGCTTTCTCTTTACTCATCCCAGGAATTCTGTCTCTCTTTCATGTCAGAGTTTTATTGGAAGTTTCCAGTTTCCTCTACCTTGAAAAAAATAAATCAGTGGCCATTAAGAAACATTTAGCAGACCTGTGGCCCTTTTGTGCGATCCTCTGGTTTTTGTTTGCATAACCAAGGGGAGGAAATAATTTTAAGTATGACATTTCTTTGTTAAATGAAGAATTTAAAATACAATGGCACAGAAGAGAGTTGGGGAAGAAATTAAAAGGAGGGGGAAAAGAGAAATACATAGGATAAAAGGTGTGTAGTCTGAATGAAAATACCACTTTTGGAGTCAATATGTGTGTGGGATAGAATTCATGTTAGTTGGTTGCCATATTAGTCTGGAATATTAGTGTGCAAAGGGGTCTTGTAGCACCTTTCAGACTAACTTTGGGAAAGATGATGTAGCATAACCTTTCATAGATTTGGTCTACTTCCTCAGATGCATGCAGTGAACTGGGCATACACTTTCATAGACTTGGCATAAGCTTTCATAGACCAAACAGTATGCAAAGAGATGGAGCCATGACAGTTAAAGTGGCACCTTTGAGACTAACTCTGGGAAAGAAGTTGTAGCATCAGCTTTTGTAGACTTGGTTTACTTTCTCAGATGCATGGAGTGAACTGGTGCCCAGGAAGGACCAGAGGTCTTTATGCCCAGTTCACTCCATGCATCTGAGGAAGCAGCCCAAGTCTATCAAAGCTTATGCCCAGATCATGCATTTGAAGAAGTAGACCAAGTCTATGAAAGTTTATCCCCAGTTCATGCATCTGAGGAAGTAGACCAAGTCTATGAAAGCTTATACAACAATTTCTTTCCCACAGTTAGTCTCAAAGGTGCGGCAAGATCCCTTTGCATATTGTTTATGAAATACACACTCAGGCATGGTTAAAGCAGATAAATCTGAGCACTGAGAGGATGTTCCATACATGTCTTTTCATCCTTAGAGCAGGAGACCTTTACCTACAGGAGGGCCACACAGGATCCCAATCACTAAACCATCAGTTAAGTCCCCAAGTTCCATGTGGCAGGAGCCTAGATATTTGAAAGCAAATGTGCACTTTGTAGTTTTCATAATACAAAATTAATATTCTGCAATGCTCCTAATCAGAGCTATCCATCCCACCTGAAATTCTTTATGGTGCCATGCTCAGGTAAGAGGAGAATCAGACCACCAAGCAGCTGCTTTCTCTCTTTCTCTCTCTCACTCCTGTTTTTGTATTGTATACTGAGCATCTAT